CAGTCAGAGGCAAGCGACAAAGGAGGTGAGGGGGGGGTCGCAGGAGCAGGCTGTCGCCTACTACTATTACTACTACTACTACTACTACTACTACTACTACTACTACTACTACTACTTTGTAGTTTGTCCAGTGGAACAAGGAGGCACAGGCACTACGAGAGGTGCCCAGCATTGCCCCGTTGAGCATGCAGGAGGTTCTCTCCCTCCTCGACGAATCCATAGTGCTCAGCATTGTGGACGGGGTTCTCATCAACTTTCACCCGACCAGGACACTGGCAGAGCACATGACTGGCCCGACTGTCACGTTCAGCCTAACAGTGGGACTTCGAGAGCCGAAGGCGTTCCGCTTCTGGTCAATCATGGAGGCCCTATCAGGCAACGCGTCGCTACAGCTGGTGGCGACTACCCTTCGCAGGGAACGACGCCAGCGATCGGCCCTAGCCCAGACCATTGCGCAGGAGCTGAGACGTCGGCAGCTCTTCAGCACATATGCAAACTGGCCCTAAGGAACCGTGACAATGAATGCTACATGAATACGGTCATCTTAGCTTGCATGTGGGTCTCAGAGATCTACGCCCCGTCTCAGGTCTGGGTAAAGGAATCCCTATGCAGGGATCTGTGTGCCCTTACGGTCCAGGAGGGCCCAACACACATCTGGTCACGATCACCGTGGCGCAGGTACATGAATCGATGGCCTCACTGTGGCAGACAGCATGACGTGGCGGACTTTCTAGGACATTTCCACCAGGAATGTCAACTCAAGTGGTTTCAGGGCATATGGGCCGTGCTAGCTGGTGGTTCCTTGGTAGATAATGGGGGTGTGTGCCCACTTTTCCTGAATAGGATACTTTCGGATTTACCGGCTCCGCGTGGTGTGTGCTCCTTGCAGAGTGTCATACATGCGTGGCATAATTCCTCCAGCAGCCCCACCCTAACTGCCGACGTTGCCTGTGTCGCGATACAGCTGAATCGCTTCAGGACAGAAGGACGCACAGTGAGCAAAGACTTTACGGCAGTAGCTCTGCCACGGAGTGTCGACCTCCCCTGCTGGGTAGAAGGTACAGTGAGAGAGCGTAGCTTTCGCTTAGGAGCAGCTATAGTTCACTTAGGAGAAACCCCAAGCAGTGGACACTACCGTACAGTTTTGCTTGAGCCTACAGGTCGGATGTGGTGGACTGAAGATGGTGTTGCTGCCTTACCTGTTGCTCGTAGTAATGTCCCTGTCATTCTTCGCAATGCTTACGTACTTTTTCTATATCCAGACCCTGGAAGGCGGTAGTCAGTTTTGGCATCAAGCTTTCTCAGAAAATAGTTCAGCCTGGTGCTCAAGGGCCCTACGGG